ATTTCACTTATACTGGAGCTGATAAGGGAAGTCATCAATTAGGAATTAAATGGACAGAAATGAACACTCTTTGTACATAAAGGTAACGGGAATGATAAAAAAAAGCAGAAAATAGCGAAAACCATTCACAATAAGTATAGATGGTTAATTAATAACTGCAATATACTTATGGAATTTTTAAAATACTTCTATATTTGTTTTTCTTGTATGTTTATGAACCTAATAATATCATTTACTACTACCAAACCTCACCTTTATGTCTTCAATAGAGAATTTTTGCAGCGCGTTTATTCGCGACTGAAGAAAAATGTCGAGATAATACCACAAAATGTTATATTTGCCAGTCATCGATAGTACTGCTCAGATCATAAATGTAGACAAAAAAATACAAATGCAGAGGATCTGACCAAAGTCCTACGAGTATTCTAGAGTCAATTGTGAAGCATTTACAGCTAAGAATGATGTTTTTTTTCTACATCTACGCTCCAAAAGTTGCCAATTATAACCATCTAACTCTATAGTTATGTATTACATTACGGATCTTGTTATGTTCCAGTTTTTAGTCAACATTAAAACTATAAATGTTGACTTTGAGAGTGATAAATGGTGTGTTTTAGGTTATAAATGTAGAGAGAAAGAACAAATATAGAAAATTTTGGAAAGCGTCGATAAGAATCCTATAGCTCTTTAATATGCATTTTATAGCTAATAAATCAAGATTTCCTCTCCGCTTGTGACTACCCAACTCGGCATTCATGCTTATCATTCTCTCTATATATAGTTTCCTTTATGAAATATAAAGTTCTATACCAATTTATTGTTTACAATATCATATTCTTAGTTGTAGGACTAGAAATATAGAGTTTTGGCGTCATCAATTTAGAAGGGATATAAAAAATGGTAAATTTTTTCTATTTGAATATTGCTGGATATCAAGAATGATATTTTGAGTTACCAAAACTGTCATATAACTAATGCAAAAGCATGAGCTGATTAAGTCCTAACTTTCGGAAATAATCAATATCAGTGTATCTGAGTTCATCGAGATTCATAATAAATCGTTAAGACCTGCTGGTGATATAACGAATGTTTACAATGGGCTTATTTTTTCCTTGAATCAATAATTAGACTAACAATAATAAGGCATAATAAGAAAATAAATTCCAAGAAAATATCAACAAGATCAATAAAATAGAATGCTAGTCAAAAACAAATAAACTAAATTTCTGTTCGAAATATAGAAACAAAAAAAGACATAGCGCTTACTGATAATCGATTGTCGTTGGAAAAGAACTATCGGCTTTTAGACAGATTAACACTTTGCGTACTTTGTATTAGCATCATGAAGTCAAATAAGACATGTGAGTTTGACATTTTAGTCTCAATGAGGCTACACTAACAAAGTCTTTTCAGGTCAATCTTTAGAAGAGAATAAATATGAACTTTGATATGCATTGCAGGAGTCTCATGATCTCAAATGTTCACTAGTAGAACTTTTCCTTAAAACGAAACCTGAATTATTATTCTGTCATTTTAAAGAAATAATCTCTATTAAAATTCGAAATTATATTTCAGAAAGTTACATATTTTTTATCTTCGATGAAAATCTGTTCAGTTGTGTCAAAATGGTAAGTTTCAAATGACATTAAATTCAATTTTATGAAAGATTATGCGTCTGTTGAAGTAACTGTAACCTATGAATGAATTAACTTAGATTGATTTATGAAAAGAAGAAAAGTGTGATTGAAGGATAACAAGTATTTGATTGATTCATTTTAGCAATTTCTTTACTTCTATATTCTTAGTGTAATATACTCACTGTTTAGTTGTTGTTCTCGAATGTAAATGAGTCGTTTCCAATCAATTTGATCCTTGTTAATACTAATGGTTTTAGTGGTATCTCCTTAAATAAATTGTTCAAGCTTTTGTCAGAAGCGTCTTGCTCAAGGTTTACTGCAGTTTGAACATAAATTTGACTCAATTACTGTCGCCATTTGTCTTAGAAGAAAACCACTGAAATTATATAATTTATGAAAGTATTTCAAATAAATTCAAGTCATGTGTCGAATATTTTTTCATCATGATTCGAAACGAATCTCGTTCAAATATCTCAAATATGACTCAATCAGTGTATAGGATAGATGTGGGTAGTACGTGTGTTGATGTAGTGTGCAAGTGGAGCAGTTGGTGACTTTGGCTATATTTGTGGTGCTAGGGTTCGGGCAGAGATATGATGAATGATGTTTGGATTTGGGTGTAGTCATGGGTACGTGGACATAAGTGTAATTAGCTGAATAGTTGAAGACAAACGCTACGCTGCATGAGGACCAACCTCCTCACTAGCATGGCCATCGTTAAGGACACCGACAGACACACCCAAACCCGCACTCACCACGACATCCATACTTAGACTCACAGCTAATTTTGCGTCCATCCTCCAATGTAGATGTTATATTTGTATGGATTGAGTTGTTAAATTAGTAATTATATTATACGAAAAGAGTTGAACGTTGAGTCGAGGGTCGAGCAAGTCGCAAGTACAAGTGTTACTTGTTCATAAATCGAATTCGAAAAATTAAACGAATATACGAACACTGTAATGGTACAGTTTAGAACAGATTGGCAGAGAATAAAGTTGAGGTGTGTGGGTGTGAGTATGGCTGGAAGAAGAAGAACAACCATGCCCACACTCACATCTTGACCTTCATGTGTGCAGTTTGATTTGCAAGCAGAAGTTATTCCACAATTACTCTTACTCGCAGTCGAAGTTTGCCATTGTATTCGTGTCTTTCTTATGAGTACTCTCATTAAACTCGCAATCAGACTATATTGATTTTGGTTTTTTATCTTTTTAATAACTGAAATTGATGAATAGACTGGGACAAAAAAAAGGTAGACTGTTCGGAATGTCTTGGCGCTAAGTATATAACATTCAAAGTGATTTCTTTTACTTTTCCAACTTTCCTAATAATTTACTCACCACGATCAAGTAATTGAAGCGAAATTGGCCTGAATGATTTCAATTATGTATTGTTGTTTATTGGAAGTTTTTGCGTCTTACACCGACGGCTTATTTTTACTTGAATCATTCGTATCTTACTGTTGCAGCCTTTCAAACCTTTATGTTTCGTTGCTATCTATGTTTGCCTCCCTTTTTTTGTCATGTTTTTTAAATTCTTATCAAAGAAGCATTCTCTGGGGTGATCTGCACCTAGCATCATTAAAACATTCATCAAAAGAGAAGACGATGAGTGATGACAAAGAAGCAAAAAAACCACATCTGGTCAATCATATATATTTCATGTGGAATACAAAGATTGATATTTGTTTCTGTATGAATTGAGGAGGTTAGGATCGTTCAAAGATAGACAATGACTAGTGATGAAACATTTGATTATATCTCTATTCGATCATTCGACTATCGATAGTTAACAAAGCACGATTATTTTAAAAAATTCGTTGGATTTTATTTCATATTGAAATAAATAACACTTATATTATCATGAACATAAGACAACTTTTCTTGTAAATGATAAAAAGATTGATAAGTTTCAGTTTAATTCATTTTTTAATTTAAATAAATATTCTAGAAGATTCGACGCTTCATCTTATTTCTTAATTAAAAAGAGAAAAGAAAAAAATGTTCAGCTTGCTCATTCGAACTTTCAGTTCCTAAGTATTAATATTCCCAAAAGGAATATTTGAAATAAAAATTGGTTTATCTTTGAAGTAACTCTTTTCAGAAAAAGCTATTCTTTTAAGACAATCCAATGTAAATATAATCATCAAAAAGTAAGTTACGCAACTTAAAATGCTGGTGAACTTATGCAACATTTTATTGAATGCATTCTATTGACCACGAAAGCATCAGAAAGATATATGACATATGTAGCAATGTAGACGTGTCCTGAAATTTTATTTTGATTCTTTCAGATAATTAAAAGACATTGATATAGATGAAAGTGATATTGAAAGAAAACTTCAACGACTTTTTCATAAGTCAATCTGATACTTTTTATGGTCTTATTACTACAGACTATGTCAATATTTGCCATCTGTGTCTTTATAATAATATAAGTTATGCAAGACAAAGAAAAATATTTATCCTCATTGTTTGAAATAATCAACATAAAAATATGATGATAATAAAGTGAATATCGGCTTTTCTATCCATTTATTTTTGTTTTTTTCCAATTGAAATATAAAAAAATTATTTTTTATGTACAAATACATTTTTTTTCATTGTTCTTTTATGAATAAACTCAAAATTATAGGAAAATACAACATAAAATTTATTTTTTGTGCCTTTGTGTTCACTAGAAAATGATAAATGACAATAATAAAGCATAGAAGAATATTTTTTACAGAACAAAACTGATAAATATACATGAAGATATTTTTGGAATGAATATCTGAAGTTCTCAAATAAAAATAATAAAAAAGAGTATAATTCTTTTTCTACAAAGTTATGCTTATACTAAAAACCCAAAGTAATTTTTCTATTTATTATTCACTTTTTTTCAAATCATCACTAAGCTGTATTTGATTTTATAATTTTAAACATGAGATTATTGAAATAAAAAATCCGTAAATATTCTAAGTGATTGGGACGGGCAATTTTCTTGCATATATGAAGAGTCATCGATCTTATTTTACATTTTTTTCCAAATTGGAATCATTCAATTAAGAACAAATTTATGAACAATTCTTGTATTCATTATGAGTTAGTTGCGAAAAAAAAATTAAGATTTTGAAAGATATTTCCTACTTGATGTATTATGGAGTTCTAATAATTGAATTGAAAAAATTCTTTTAAAATATCTCCAACCATTTCATTTATCACACATATCTCGACATCTCAAAGGACTAACGATAGCGATGAATTCGCTAGCGAAATTTTTTTTCTACTGATTTGACCACCTATGTGATAACTACCGAGAAACAACCGCCGATATACCAGCTGTCAAGAATATAACTTAAAAGTATTTTTTTTTCTTCGCATGAATTGTCAGTAAGACTTAATGAAATTTATATACTAAAACGAAAGTTACTATTTCTTTCATATGAATACCTTCGATAATATTTTTGTCTATTGCTGCTTTTATAATTCAGTCCAATCACTGAATAAAATTTTGCTCATATATAACATTTTAAAGTATTATTTTCCATGTCATCAAAATAAACATTACTTTTGCCGATTTTCGAAGCATTGTGAATAAGTCGTTGATTAATCGCGATATTTCAAGAACAATGATACAGCAAGTAATAATTAACAAAATAAACGATGTTTTCTTTTTTACTAAGATTAATAACCATGACAATTTCATCGTTAAAAGAAGCTTAGAGTATCCAAGGAATAACTTTTATGATTTTCGGTAGAGTTTTTTTAAACTCATTATAAAAAAAAAGTCCATACTTTTCATAAAAAATTCTTCTTTCCAAAACTTTTCAATGATTTTCGTCACCTTCTGCTTGAAAAAAAAAGCGACAATCTTTTTTATTTTTTTCTGAGCGCACATCCTAGAACTCTCCATACATTCTTGAATAATATTTGTTTGTAGATCATTGCACACTTCATCAGCCACATTCTCTTGTTAAGAATATTATATTAAATTGTGTCACTGAACAAGTTATAGTCGTGCATTTGAACTCGTAGTATAAAAAATTATTAAACAGAAAATTAAAAAAGAAAAAAATTCGAAATATCAAAAGATGAATTAAAAAATAAGACAAAGGAAATCTGTAATGATTTATCAACACTTTGTATTTTCGTTTTAAATTTTTTTAGTCAGTACATTCTTTTTGTCTTTTAAATGACAGTATAAAATTTAAATCAAATTCTTCAATTTTTAGATTAATTCTCTCTCGACAAATATCTTTCATCAAACACAATTAGTACATATACATTCGTTTATATGTCTTAAGAGTTCCAGCTCGCTTCATCGAATAAAATATCATACAGAAGAAAAGAAAAATTCATTAAACTCTATAACAAATGTTTTGCACACTTCTATTCGATACGAATGAAAAGAAAGCAAAACAACACCTCTTGTTTCTCCTCCTTCTTTTTTTTTCTCGTACTCCAAAATTAGTCTCTTGTGTTTTCAATTTCATGCCATTAATGTCCTGTTGTGCTGTTCAAATCTATATTTACGATTCAATTGTTCATTATTGTTTATAAATCAATTCCTACTATGTACTCACTAGGGAAAAAGAAGGAGATAAGGTTGAACACACTAACAAGTATGTGTACATACGAATTCGATGATTATTAATTTATCCATCGTAGGAGTATTGTACATTCCCCGTTTGAAATACGTCATATTCGTTAATTTTGTTCTTGAAATTCAAAGAAATCAGACACTCTTACATTCACTCAATTGAATGAAGTGACAAACTAACACCAATCGTTTTCTTTTTGTTGTCTTGTCGGCATGTGAATCATAGAGAAAAAAATAACAAAAAAAAAAAAGTTANAAAATTCGAAAAAATATATTTGCTGGAAAACTGGGGTCCTGCAGGGAAAATTCACTAAAAATTCAATAGCTCAGTCCCAGAGGCCCATGCACCCAAACCAAGATAGACTTTTTCACTGCTCACTAGGATCTATCGAATGGCAATGGTCCTGAGCGAAAAGCGATTTAACACCTGAAGAGGTTCTCTCGTGAGTTATGATCGTTTTACTGAATTTTCGACTCAGTCTTAGGTATTCATCGAAACATCAAAACAAAAGTATTTCGATCTGAAATTTTGTCCAAAGATAAATTCAATGACTGTTAGAATATAATAAATGTTTCAGGAAAAAAGAATATTCCTTGATCAAGATATTGAATTTTCAAAAAAATTTCTTTTGCCACAGATATGTTACAAAAATTAAATTCACTTGAAAATTTCAGAGCATTCTACTAGTCATTCGACCTATTCATAGGCGAAACTTCAACTCGAAATACTATTATTTGATGTTTCGGCGTATATCTACAGTTGAATCACAAATTCAATAAAACAGTCATAATCGAGATTCAAAGAAGTATCTGGACAAACTCTTTTAGGCTTTTTCTAGTCTAATTAAGACTTCCTTGTAAGCACATAGAAATAAATAATTTTAAAATTTTCAACAAGATTAATGATTAAATAGAATCAAACAGGAATCTTATTTTCTTATAATTCTTTAATAAGAAGAATAAATTTATTTCATTAAATTCATATAGCACACATTACATCGAACGGTCTACCGATGATTGTTGTGAAATTTGAATCAAATGAAATAGTCTATCAATATGTTTATTTCTACACTAATTAAAAACTTTAATAATTATAAATTTGCTGCTTGTATCAAACGAATTTTTTATTTTTAGGTACTCAGTTTTTTATCAATTGGGTGTTTTCCTTTCACGTTCATCAGTAGCTCTCTTTCGAATTAATCGACTTTGGATTTTACCGATTATTCAAGTTAGTTGATTTAATTAAATATTTTTTTTTCTGTATAATATATATACATATATATTTGCTTAGTTTGGTAATATGGGTATATTTTTTGCTTGTGTCTATCGCACGGCTCATATACCGAGTATATGGTTAGTTTTTGGTTTAGTCGTATTTGAAGGTTTAATTGGTGGTGGAGCTTATGTCAATACATTTTACAAGATATCAATTGAAGTATGATTTAAGACTAATTTTAGTCGATTTGTTATTGTTGTATTGTTCTTTTTTTTTTAGATTCCTGAACCTGATCGTGAATTTTCAATGGGTGTTGCATCTATTGGTGATTCATTTGGAATTACATTTGCAGGTTTATTAGCCATTCCACTTCATAATGCAATATGTCAATAATTGCCATGACAAGTCTCTGTTTTTCTTTCGCATTTAATTGTTTTTTTTTATAAAAATTCGTGTGTGCCAATTATTATTTTTTTAAGAAAGTTATTGCATTACTTTTCTCTTGGTAATTCTTCTAGATGGCTGAAAATGATTTTCGAAATAAAACTGTATGTGTAACAGGTGCTGGACGAGGTGGGTTATTTAAAAACTAGTTTATTTTAATACATTGAAAGAAAATAATTATTAAGGTATTGGTAAAACATTAGCTTTACGACTTGCTCAACTTGGTGCTAAAGTGATTGCTGTTAGTAAAACTAATGAAAATTTGAAAGAACTTGTTATACAAGTAATAAAAATGAAATTTGGATTTATTTATTTTTGTAAATGTCATTTTCTTTTGGTTTTTTTAATTAGAATAATAATATTATTCCAGTATGTGTTGATTTAAGTGATTGGAAAGCAACGAAAGAAGCTATCAAACCACATCTTCCAATTCAATTATTAGTAAATAATGCTGCTGTCTCTATTCTTGATTCATTTCTAGAAGTCAAACCAGAAGATTTTGATACGTATGTACACAACAACAACAAAACAAATCAGTATTTTTTTTTTCTATTTATATTTCAAAGATTATTTAATGTCAACGTTCGATCAATTATTTGTGTTAGTCAGGTATGTCGTGTTTACAATAGATATTTGCTAAGTTTATCGTTTTCAATTATTCCTTCGACTGAAGGAATGGTAATACTAGACAAAATAAGTTAGAGTGTATGTATTTGATTGCACGTGTATGGTCACGTATTCACATCTAATCATATAACTTCAGAGTAACTATTCGGGTGTAGGGACATCGGTTATGGCTATGGAGGTCGGATGGCAGTGAGTATTTGGTGTTCAATAAGATATGAGTAAATGTGTGCATGTTGGCTGGCATGGGTATAGGTATGGATGTTATTGATGAAATAGGTAATCACATGAATCACATAGACATCAACATCAGTATGCATATCAAGATCCACACTCACACTTGTATTCATACCAATCCTCATGCATACATTTGATATAATTATGGATTGGGATTTATACTAGTATATTATATAGAAAGCTTTGAGTATCAAATGAGTTGTAATGATAAGCGTTGGTTGTGCATGAAAGATTTAATTAAATATAATACTTTGATAGGAAATTGCACGTGATTTAATTGAACGTAAATTACCTGGTTCAATTGTTAATGTATCAAGTCAAGCAGCTGCAGCAGCATTAAAATATCATAGTCTTTATTGTTCATCGAAAGCAGCAGTTGATGGTTTAACACGTGTTATGGCATTAGAATTAGGTTCTCATCAAGTAAGAGTTATTTTCTTGGATTACTATAAATCAATATTGATTTGTTTATTTTAGATTCGAGTCAATAGTATACAACCAACAGTAAGTATTCAATATTGTGAAAATTTTGTGTAATATATTTATTTATAATGTACAGGTTGTTTTAACAGATATGGGTCGAATTGGTTCGTAGTTTTTTGAAATCGTATAATTTTTGGTTTTAGAATAATCAATTTCTTTGTATAGCTTGGTCTGATGAAAAGAAAGCTGCAGGAATGTTATCAAAAATTCCATTAAATAGATTTGCTGGTTTGTAAAGAAAATTTATTTAATAACAATGTTTTAAAAATTCATTTGAATAGAAGTGGAAGATGTTGTTGAGCCAATTATATTTTTACTTTCGGATAAATCTAAAATGATTAATGGTACTTGTTTACCTATAGGTAATGTAAACAAAAATCATCTAGAAAACTAAAATTGATTTATTTTGAAATACATACAATTTTCATGCATACTTTTTATCTTCAATTCTTATTCTTTTTTTTTTTATGAATTTAGATGGTGGATTTTTGGCAACGTAATAAATTATAAACAGTAATGATTTCCTTTTTTTATTGTGGATTTTAGTCGTAACATCTATTTTTTGTCACTTATTTTATTTAATGTAATGCAATAAATTTAGATCTTAGCTTTTCAATTTAATAAAACATTTTTCTTTAATTTTTGATCGGTTTTATAAAAGTGAGTAATAAATACGGAAGGGAACTTACCGATGTGTTACCAATATAATTGGTTGCAGGTAATGGAAAATTTATGGATTTAATTCTTTCGTGATGGGATAACTATTTTATGAAATTAGTGATCGTTTATAAAATTTGATCAACGGTTATCGTCGAATTCGATGACCTATATTGAACCAGAATACCATGTACGTGATTTTGTAGAGAAACTTTCAATGCACCACATGTTATAGAAGATATTAAATCTTCTTCAAATTTTCATCTACTGATCATAATACTTCAGAAATATAGATATATATATATATATGGTACTCATAGATATTATAATCACTAAAATGTTCTAAGACAAACTTATGCAATTTTTTTTTCTAAACTTACTGAAATACAATTGTAGGTGCTCTTTGATTTTCTATGATCAATAGTTATCATCGTTGCTTTTTTCATACTTAAAACTGATTATCTTTCTTATGTCAATGTCTTAAAAACTGTATAGTATTAAATTCTATGCGTTTCATACATAATATCTTCTGAAACAATATAGAGACTAATTGTAAACTCTGCAAGATTATCTCGTAAAATAAGCTATTTTCCTGTATGATATGATTGGTATAGAGACGTCATTTTAACATGGTCTCAACGGTTCTAGTATACATTTTTATGTAACAATTATTAGTACAGCATGCCTAATAAACTGATATAAATAACTCTGTTAGAAATGCAGAAAAAGTTTTGGTCTCCAGACTCTTAAAGGGAGATACGAGGATACGAAAAAATTTATTTGTGAAATAAATGAGATATTTATAGATTTTTCTAAAGTTCCATGCATAAATCAAACCTGAACAATCAGAATAAAAACTTGAAAAAGAAATAATAAAAATAAAAGGTTTCCTTTCTTCAACCCTATACCTATAACTCTCTCCAGGAGTCCAGGAAAATAAGCTATTCTAGGGGACAGTCTTGGAAGGTTACCATGTCAGTTTTAAATATGAAAACTATTGATTATATAAAATCGAAGAGCACCTACAATTGTATCTCAGTAAGTTAAGAAAAAAAAAATTTGCATAAGTTGATCTTAGAATATTCTAGTGATCATAATATCTATGAGTACCATATATATAATATATATCGGCTTGAGCGCGTAACGTGTAACTTCAGGACCGAGAGTTTGAAGTCATCATTTCTAAAACTCATTGTCGTTATCTTGTAGAGCATGGTTCAAAGTGTAGAGAAACGCATTTTGTTCCATCAATAACTGCGTTTAATCGTATGCGATAAATTGTGATAGAGATGTCACTAACAGATATAGAAAATTTATGTATTTCGACCATTAATCAACCTAACCCATACATCGAAACAGTGTGATGTATACAAAATTGATTAACACCGATTAAGACTACGATAACAGATGTATCTTTTGGCATAACAGTTGATTTCGTATGTGTTAAACTTTTTGGCAGCGAGCTCAACTAAAACTACCCACTTTATAACGTCATCGCGTAACGAAAAATGAATATTATTTTTTTGCTCATCTGCTAATCTCAACTTTTTTTTATAAAAGGTATATACCTAAAGCTAGGTTTTTATGGGCTATCCAATGCGTGGATTTTTATCCGAAAAGGTCCTGTTTGAAAAAAATGTTACGTAACGCGATAACGATTTTTACCATTTCTTCTATGTTTTCATATTTGGAGGAGAGCATTTTCAAAAAGTGCTTTATTATTCAAAATTCATTATAAACTAAGACTATAATCAATTTTTATTTTAATAAGTAATAAATTGCAATAAGAATTTATCTAATTGGTGTAGTAAGTTGATTGTGTTCAATTAAAATAAAACTACCAATAAAATCGTTTTCGTTTGTATACTACATAATATATCTGTGGAAGATTTTTTTGTTTTATGTTCCTATTTTTCCTTACTCTGAATAAGTCTAATAGTTATTTTTTTCTAATGGTGATTTATTTAAACAGTTGATAGCTTTTTTTTATCGCATATTCAGTGTACATATACATTGTTATATATATTCGTCACACTAGTTTATTTTTATTACGATTTTTTTATATTAGAAAAATAATTAAATTGAATATTTGACATCTGTATACTTTAATCTTTGAGATAAAAATGACATTTTGTTTTTATAGCGAAATACATATAGCAAAACAAAGCAAAGAGAAATAACTATCAAAAAAGTCATTGTCATCGCGTTACGTTGATTAAACTGATCCCTCTTCAAAATAAGAAGCCTCTTTGAAGAACTTTTTTTTCCGTTGGATACCTCAAAGTGTCGACTACAAAATGTCTATAGGAAGTTTCTCTTAATACACTACACATTCGCAGGAAAATAAAGAACAAACACGTCACCCTCAACATTTTGCCCTGTTTGCGTCATCGCGTTAGGTCATCTATTTTTTCTCTAATTTCCACATGGCTCATCCAAACGACCTCATATTTTCAGAGATTTTGAGGAAGGCAGAGACACATTTTCCAACGAAAGAACAAACCTTCTGAACAACCTTATTGCTGAGAAAAGTTAATAAAACTGTGACCAAGACGTCATTGCGTTACGCTCTCTCAAGCCGATATATTGACTTTCACAAGCGTGACGTGATGACGTTTTGTCCATTTTTCTTAGAAACTAGACTACTTAGAAATTTGATTCTTTCATCAAATGATGTGTTTCTCTATTCTGTCGCAATTCCTGAAAACCCGAGTTCTTTTGGTTTCGTCGTTTGAAAATTCTGGCAAAAATACTGAGCGAAACGCGATGATGAAAATTGGACGAAAAGTTGAGGGCGACGTGTTTATTCATTGTTTTTCTCTGGATGCGCACTACATTGGAAAAACTGATCCATAAGAACTTTGTAGCCGATAGTACGGAATATCCGACGAAAAAATAAAATAATTCAAAAAGATCATTTAATTGGCTCGTTATTTTGGTTTAATTAACGTAACACGATGACGAAAACCAGTAAAATGTGTTCTCTTTTTTTGCTATCGAAATTTTGTTAATGATTGACAAATGTAAGCAGAGCCACCTATTCTTAGAACAACGAAGAGATTTTGCTCACTTTGAGCTAGGCCCCATAGGACGAAAGTATTGATATTACAACTCGTTTTTTTAATTTTCCGGTATTAAAGGTGACGGGTTACGATTTTTTGCCGATATATATATTTCTGAAGAATTATAACCAGTATGTGAATTTGCAGCGCATCAAAATTTGAGGAAAACTTAATATCTTATATACCATTTGATGTGTTGGAAATTTCTCTACCAAACCATGTAGATGGTATCCTGGTTCAATATAGGTTACCGAATCCGGCAATGACCCTGTATATTCAATTTCTCCGCCAAGTTTTCTCGATCCCGAGACTCGTTGAACAAACTTTATAAACAGTCGATTTTGATATAATATCATCAATAGACTTGTTTTGTTTTTTGTACAAGCACATCAACATAAGATTTCTTTGAATGTATATAAGTCAAATAGTTTCTCGTCTATTAAATCTACTGCACTATTAATTCATCTCCGAGAGAATAAACTTTTCCCTTCCTTCATGCTATTATTTATCTCTGACAGTTATGAAGATGAGATTATATTAGGAAAAGTAATTTTATAAATAGAAATCTGAAAGAATAATTTACTCTATAACTTTTCTACTCAAATACTTCCTACTTTTCTGTTGATCTATCACTTGTGCATTCAAATCGACACAGAAAAGATTCTGTGGAATCATTAACCTAGTTTTTCAGCTCTCATCATTATGAAATAAACTCATTAGATAGCTATAATAAGTATCTAAGATAGATTACTTTCCGAACTCACTAAATTATACAACAATATGACGTATACATATACTAGCAAAATGTTTTTTTCTCTTCGTTTTTTTGTTTTTCGTAAGTGAATGAGATTATTCTTGATATAAACAAGATACTCATTTGCAATTATATTTAGTCAACACTGTGCAATGCAATAGCATATACTTATACGTTAGATTACGAATGGCAATGATAAACTCACCTATGACAATATCGAGTAATAATATCAGAACAGCTCCACAATAATCACAGACTATTGATCTTGACGATATATATTTGTGCGTGATATTAAGTCACCTATAATCATGAATATATAGTTTGAAATTAGAGTTCTGAGAACAAACGTTTCTCGAGTACCATTGATCCCACGCCATTTTCTTCTTTAAAATGTTTCGCGAGACGAAACAAAGAGTTTTTCAAAAATCAATGTCCAATATTTGTTTAAGTTATTGCAATCTGTGTCATTCTGGTTAATTTTATAATTGTATAAAATATTCTTATATTATACTTTAACGAGCTATAACTTTTGAAATATCAAAAAAAGTCAAATAGAAATGAATTCAATTTCTATGGCAGTTATATCTGTCGTTATCAATGAATACATTTTTCAATGTATGATACCATTTGATCGAATGTATTTCTAACATATAATATTGGCAAATAGGAATACATTTAGTAGAAGAGAAATTTTATTTAATATTAATATAATAACAAGATTTTATCATAGAACATTAAATGCATTCGTTTGTGTTATACTTTTGATTTAATCAAATCAGTATTTTTCTATTACATATTATTAATTCTTTTTTTCAAGAAATAAAAAGTATTGAAAGAATATTTACACGTTTTAGTGTAGCATCAGATCGATCTGTATTGCAGAAATTAAAGTAGCTCTAGGAATAGATATGACGTATGACGTGATATTCAATCTGAATTAAGATGAATCTAGAAATGCTATTTAAACTTTGATTAATATAAAGAATTTTTTCAGTATTTCTAAATATATATTTAAATAGAACAATAAGAGAATTACTTTTTTTTGAAATCATTTATTTATCATTGAAATTTTTTAGAATACAAGATAAGAACTTTTATATAATGTTATTCTTTATATCTAATGAATTCTTAAAGTATCTTTCAAGATTACATATATTCTTTGTGCTATTCTTCTCTTAATTTAAACTTTACGTGACACATACTATTTATGCGCATTTTATTTAAATAAAAAAAGAAATGACATAAAATATTTAAGACGTTTCAAGACATGTAAAAATCTGTTTTCTCTCTATCTTAAAGGAAACATATTGTAACTTTTATTTCATATGATAGTATGCAGATAATTTTCTATGTAATGAAAGTTAATTGGATGGCATGATATTTCTTAGAAATCTGTGTCCTTTTCCATTTGTAACAATGTTAGTAATTAAGATTTAATTTGATCATTATAATGACATTCTTTATTGTAATTGCTAAGGATAGATAGTTTTATTAATGATATAGAAGATTAAGACAATGAAGAGAATTGTCACAACATACTACTTAGTTCATACAGAAAATGATCTGAATACCACAACATACTTCTTTGTGCAGCAATGGATTTACCGATATCCAACGTAGTTTGGTGTGAAATACTAGCGGCATGCATGACGTAAATTAATTTTGTTTTTTTGTGTTTCATATTTAATTATTATATTTAGTTATGGCTTGGGTTTTCTTGGTAATCTATTATCATTAATTATTTTTTTTTCACAAGAAGAATTTCGTAAGGTTTCAACTGGTGTATTATTTATTCTTATGACTTTTTCAAATACTATTCATTTATGGACATTAACAACAGAATTTCTTGCTATATTTAATGTTTTTATTTATTCAAATGTATTTTTACAATGTCGACTAAATTATTTTGTACAAAATCTTAGTCGAACAGTGAGTACTTATCTAGCTATTGCTATTACACTAGATCGCTTGATTCGTTCGGAATTACCGATGCGTTCAAGGATAATTTGCACACGTCGAAATGTCATTAAATTAACTTTAATTTATTTAATAATATTTTCTATTTTGTATTCATTTTGGTTTTGTCCAATGGTTACATTGAATCCTATTACAAATACGTGTTATATTGGTCAATCATCAATATATAATTATTTTATTAGTAATGTTTATCTGCCAATTCGATTAATTGTTGGTTGTATTATTCCAGTTATTATAATGAGTTTAGCAAATATTCGTATGTTATTTAATATAAAACAATCTCGTCAACGTGTTGATCCAAGAAATCAAATAGATACAAGTGTTGCTACAATAAATGTTAGCTTAATAAATGGACGAATGACACCAATTGATCGAATGTTGTTTTATATGATGTTAACTAGTGTTGGTACATTTATTGTAACACAAATTCCATTTAATATATATACACTTGTGCGAGCTAATTATGAAACATTTGATTTGTACACTCATCTATTGGTTCGTGCATTACTTTTAATTTGGTCAAGTATTTATTTTGGTATTGGATTTTATTTATATTGTTTGGGATCACCACTTTTTCGTGAAAAATTCTTTCAAATGAGTAAAAAACTAATAAATTTTACATGGAGACTTCGCCAAGCATGAATAAAAGAGAATTATAAACCAGCAATGTGTGTTTATTGTAAAAGAAAAATTTGTGTATTTTGTTCAATTGTATATTCATTTTAATAAATATATACTCTTACAAATAGAAAATTTAATTATTAATCGAGAAACATTATGTCGTATGACTAGAGAACTATGCAATGGCTGCGTTGACTTGCACGGATACAGTGACGGTATGATCGTGACCACAAACCATTGTCGACTTTTGTCAGATTGTATATAGATTAAACCTTTTTACTGAACCTTACATTGTATTTTAGAAGTGCTTAAAAAAAGATAACATTGACATTGATGTATATCATTAATTAGGTTTATTTTTCATGTTTTAAATTAACAAAATGCTGATCCAGTAGATTCTATATATTTTTTAAAAATGTTTTTCTGTATGATATCTACCTCAGAATATTTATTCGTCATGAAAAACTTCTGATAACTATTAAACTAGAAAATTAAATAAGAACATGCGCTTTTTAATCGATTCAAGTAATTAGTCCGATTTAAGAACAAAACTTGTTATCTTCTTACAAGATAATAGATTGTCGGAGAAGTAATTCATCTTATTTACTTTTGTGCATTTCGAACAAAAATGTTTTCTATTTTTTGTTAACGTCTTTTTTGTATCCCGTTTTTCTTAATTTAACATTATTAATATTCTAACCATTGATTTAACTCGCAAATAAATCTATTGTACATATCTATTATATCAACAACACACTGTTGTATATCTCGATAAATTCTCAAATACTGATATTAATCATATTCCAAAGTTATAGCTGGATGAGTTCACACTTTTTTATATTGACCATTTGATAACTGTGGTACATCAATCTATCAGTATCCATTATCCCTGACATCTTACATATAAGTTTTTATATGCGCAAAAAATTAAGAGCTACGCTATTTAAAATACTCACAAATCTATACGAGTCATTGAAATTTCGAGAAAGACTTCAGAATATTCTAGAACAATGTAAGTGTTATTGTTAATGTCGCTTACCACCTTTTTTTTCATTGCTAAAGAGCTTCGCGAAAGAAGTCTGGCGCCTGCTGTCGTCGATAGTTAAGATCTATAATTGGAAGAAGGATAATCGCAAAACTTCGAATAACCACTTACACTCATTATTCCCTTCGAAAATACATATGAATTCCAGGAAACCGTCAGATTTTATCCATTTTTACGTTTTGTAACATGCATATAGCAGGTTCTGGGTTTATTTTTGTGAGACCTTATTTTATAATTCAGAATAGGTAATAATTTCAAGAAAATGCATTATTTCTATTATGATGAGACATTTTAAATACAGATTATGACTATTTTTTCCAGGTGTATATATGTTCTTATAGATAACTAAGTGATTCTCTTTAATTTAAAGACAAATAAAGTTTATGTTTTTCTTTACACGAATCCGACTTCGCCCTTAAAATAATGATACGAAAAGCAAACCATAATATGCAGAAAAGCTTATTTATCAAAAAGCATTTAATGAATTCGATAAGTATCTTCAAATCTTCAACAGTAACATCGTACAAGATGTGTTAGTAAACAAAACAGGATGACTAATGATATGACAAGAAAGAACGTCAAATAATCGAGAACAAGTAATAATTTTATACGTTGATGACTCTTATTTTCTTGTTTTTCTCAAAGGCTAAAAAAATCATTTATCATTTCTTTTATCGACGGAGAATAAATATGATTTTACTATCATTTTTTATGCAAATTTCAATCCATTTATTGTATTTAGACTATCAGATGTTCAGAGTAGACATTATAAACTATTGTCAAGGCCTTATTTAACCTTTAATGTTGAAAATGTCGACCATTCATACGGTATAATGAGCGGTTCAAGAATTTCTTTTACTTTTTATTTATTACGAGCTATATTTCTGTGATGGCAAAAAAAGAATCTCCTGAAATTTCAATGATTTATATACAGCTTCTAGAGCTACTATCAAGAAAAGGTTTATTTACATCAACAAATGAATTTAATATGACTACTAACTACACACACACACTGTGTACACACCAGTACTAACTATTATTCATCTGGTTGACTCTCTTAATATTCAGCTTCAAAGGAGTTTATTATTCGATCAGAAAAAAAGAGTGCTAAAATAACACTACATAGATTTTCACCATACTACTATATGCTAATTTCAATGTTATCAAGTGATAAGAATTGTCTTAGCATTATTAATGCGGAAATATGCCAGATGGTCGTACTAGACGAAATGAGTGTCCCGGATGTATTACTGCGGTTTCGGCGATACACTGTTCACAAAGGTCAAATGTGTCACTCCCACGGCAAACTTGGCATTGGTAACGAGTCATAGGATTCTCTCGACGACAACCATTACACCACCATCTCTCCATTGGTGGTGGTCTTGGTGGTGCTGGGGCTGGGGCTGGGGGATGTGGTGGTGCTGGCGGTTGTGGTGGTGCTGGCGGTTGTGGTGGGACTGGTGGTTGTGGTGGTGGCGGTCGTGGAGCAAAACCTGATCCATCGTGTGGAGCGTCCGACATGATGCTATTCGTGAAGAGATCAAATGGAAGAAACGAAGTTAATTTTTCACAATATGTCAATATTGGACTAGCGAAATAAAATGCAAGTGAAATGGGTGAATAAGCGAGAAAAAATAGAGAGAAGCGATTTATTGATGTGTGACGATGGAGCATCCCCTTTTTGGTTACCTCAAATTTTCGTTCTGTATAAATCGATTCAATGATGTGTGACTGTAGAACACTCCCGTTTGTTTAGCTTAGACATTTGTTTTGTGTGAATTAATTCCAGGACTAAGCCAAGTAGTTTTTCTTACTAAACAGTTCTCACATCAATTTCCCTCACTCTAATTGTGTGCTATAATTATTATTGTTCAATTTACAGTCGTCAACAATATTTATAAGGCACTTTTTGTTTACATGCAACGTTTAGAAAAAAAAGCTTGCTATCAATTATTCATCAAACTAATTAATTTTCATTTGACATCTAATAATAAAATCTTTTGTTAGTAATGTAGTATTTTATAATACATCGAGATTTAGATATTTTCGATTTGTGTAAGTATGTAAATTAGTTTATATATGTTAAAGGACTCCGATCATACTCGTCACAGTAATTATTTTATTTTTATTTTTCCTTACAAAATATTTAAAGAAAAAAAATGAAGAACAAGACCTGAAAAAAAAACAATTGGAAAATAAAAATTCTATAATATGTAATCAATTTGTTCCCCTGTTCAATTCTGAAATGCTGGGAGTAACGAAAATCGGAGATTTTTCAAGCTGCTTCTGTATTAATGTGTTTTTTAAAAATATATCCATAAACAGTATAATGATTCTTTGACTACGTATGTAGCTCTTCGACATTTTGGTCGAACTTTTCTTCTTTTACTATATTATAAAGCTGATTATTTTCTATCATATGAAACTTATCAACTAAAAAAAAATGAATTAACTAAGCTTTTATTGTCTTTTGATCAGTACCAAATCAAGATAATAATTGAAACTCCGTTTTACAAATTATAAAACACAGTGATGTCAAATACTCTTTCAGAAAATTGAATTTATCAATATATTATAAAATTTTTTCATAAACAATAATAAATCATCGTGATAACTAGTGCGGCTTTTTCTTTCTTGTGTACACTTATCCGTTAAAATCTGTTTCAAAATAACTGTTGATCTTACCAATCGTAATAAAAATATAATATAAAATGGCTACATCTTTTCGGGTAACACAATTATTAATTCAAATGGGCAAGTTATATGAATTTTAGTTTGGGTAAACTAATGATCACTGTACAACATTAGCAAATGATCTGTATAATAAAATAATAATAATTTATTTATTAATATTAAGAATTTGCTAACATTTTAAATTGAACTCAGTTCGAACTTTTTCAATCATCCAGACTAGATTTCATATACATACCAAAGTCTATTGTAATAAGTCATAACTATTGTAAAGTTGCAAAAAAATCAATATCTTTCTTACGATTTATCGAATTGTAATGATTCATGGAACAAATATAAAATATAGATTTGCTGGTAAATAAATCCGTGAATATTTTCGGATGAAAACTAAACCTTTGAGATAGATATTAGAAAAAAAAATTGTTTTCCCTGTGATCATTGAGTTTTATCTAACTTAATCACATAATTTGCTTCTAAACAAAGAAAACTTAAAATTTAAACTGAAAAAGTATATTTGTATTTATAAACAAAAGCTTATATTGGCAATAAATTCTGTAATCCCTGTTCTAATAGCAACTTTTGATAAAGGTTTTGAATATAGTCCGAAAATAATCTAACTGAAAAAAATAAGTTACACCAATTTTGTGTCTTTGTGAAGCACACCGAAAGCGAAGATCATTTTAACCTGTGTCTTGCACTTTTGCTCATTTATTTACTTCGCACAGAACAACATATAAAGTAGATCGACTACCATACCCAAGGAGGAAACATAATACTTTTGTACAATAAAGTAGCAAGAAGTGAATTGAAGTTAAAAAAAATATACTATTAATAGTGTATATGTTAGTACAAACATGTATCTGGAATTGCGAAGAAATATTACGAAGTACAAAAAATACAAACAATTGATCATATTCTAAATCTTTATTTCTATGATCCATAACGAAAACAAGTGATAAAAAAATAGGAAAGTTTAGTTATCATATTTTTCTTCTGCTCGTCTGTATGACACGAGACAGATGATTTGTAGATATATGTGTATTTGAAGCATTTGATATCTAACGAGTGAATTGTTTATGCACCCTATTTTGTTTTATCTTTAATTGATTTAACATACTCGTATCCAGAATATCATGTTTTTGTTGAATAAGGATGCTATGTCTTTGATTACGGGACGAGATGTATTGTTATGTCATAAGAATTAGCCATAGTTATTCAATGTTTATGCCATATTGTTTGTCTAACTTTTTATTCAATTACTTTATTATTGTCTTTTTAATGCTTATGCTATACAAGAAATTGCAAATATTGTTCATTGCGATTTTTAATCTGCTCGTGTTCAGTTTGATTTAAAAGTGACAATTTCTGAGAGAGACGAAGAAAATCGCTAACAGTAAAATTAACAACTATTGAAAACGTTCAACTAAGAGCTCTTGTATCTCAAAACATTGGCTCACATACCTGTGAGTTAAATAAATGAATATTTAATGCCTCTTTTAGCAGTTGGTTTTCTTTCACAAGTACCACTAAATAGAGTAACATTTTTTGAATTGATTTCTACTGAAATTTAAGCTATTTTCGTTATTAAATACTTTTCTTTCTTTTCTTTGTTTGATGTTGTTGTCGTTTTAATTTTATGTATTATAGTTGTACATTGTAAGTATGGTCACCAGAGACGATGACCAAACACCGTATATTATGCAATTTCCAGTTCTATATTAAAAACATAAAATGCAGATCTAATAAATTAGGATGAAAACAATGCTTGTTGTGTTATTTTTCAAGAAAGTCTGAAGAAGTTGGAGACTTCTCTGCAGTCAATCTAAAGCACTGGCATCGTCAACTAGAATACTTCAAAGATGTTGTGAACTCAATTTGACACAAGATCGATAACTCTGTTTGTCCCTCGTGATTAAATAAGATCCTATACAACCATGATCAAACATTCTATATAAATATATATCATTTTTTAACAATACTTTGTAAATGGCCCATACTAATTATTTGATTACCGATGTGCAAATCTGTTAATTAAGATAATAATCAGCTTTTCCACTTCACCGCTAGATGTATGGGATGCTGAAAAAAAATGAAATAACTGTTGTTTGTGACGATGAAATCATCACCAACGATGTGTTGCTTTCATTTGGAATACATCTGGGTGTTCATGCGGTTGGAAATCGACAAAAAAGCAAAGCAGAAATAGGCATCAATCACATAGCTTTCATATGTTTATTAGAACTGCCTAAAAAATATAATTTTTTTTCACCTGTCATACTAATGACAAAAATAAAATACAAGAAATCGAAGTGAGGAAAAACCTATAATCCTTATTTGATTTGGTAACCAATTTTCGAACATTTATATCCATCGATATAATATCTTCATAGCTGATGAGGTACTATCAGCACCGAAAGCATTCGACATGAAAGGGAAAGGTGCAGTGGAATGACTTGGCAATGGTAATGATTATAACATGAAAACGTTAAATAGTGTTGAGTTTTTTTTTAAGTTAGCAAACAAAGTTTTTAATTGTTCATAAGCATCTGTTTGATCGGATTCAGAAATCCGTATTCCACTCGAAATTTTGCTTAAAATCCAACGAAAGAATTACTGATAACATCATAGTTAGTTTTTTAATTAGTGCTTATACAATCTTTAGAGCAAGAACCAAATATTACTTTTACTGGGACTTTCAGAAAATGGGTAAATAAGAAAGATTGTTGCAGATCGTTTTCTTAGAGCCATCTGTTTGGCTCACTTTTGAATTCAGAAATTTGAACTAGTGCATTTCCGCTTCTCTCAAAGAATGAGACTAAATAAGCAGACCACAATATATATAATTCATAGTAGAATTAACTGTCAAAGAAGTCTGGTAGCGAACTTCGTTAGAACAAGAATTATTGGTTTCGAGTTAGACATAGATCTACGATATGACTATGTTTTAACAAGTCAAATCAGTTGATATTGAAAAAATCAAGTAGTGCAGAAAATCAATATCGAAAAATGCCAATGTTCTACATTTCATGTCATGTCACTCATTATAGACAATCCAGCAGTGGCGTAGCCAGAATTTTTTAGGTAGCGGACAGGAATGGGCAATTGTAAAATCTAGTGAGCAATAATTTCTTTAAAACTTATTCGCATTACAGAAGCCAATGTTTACTGAAAAGAAATTTCTCATCTGCAAGTAACAGACAAACTCGCTTGCTTTCTTTACAGTATTTCAAAAATGTATCCTTCAACTTTCATATAGTTGAATCTTTTATGTCAAAAAATCATAAAAAATCATAAACAAGCACAAATAACAAGAATAATAGGTACAAAAAAAAGAACAAAAAGAGTCACAATCCAAAATCAAATCATCGCGGATGTTTTTTTTGCGAATAAATCAAGAATGTTGTCACATTCTTTCTGTGATAACTAGACAGTTACATGTCACTAGCAATGGCGAAAAATAGCTAAGAACTTCATCGATAACCATACAAATCCATAAAACATGATGAAAAAATAAGTTATTAACTAAAGAAGCTGATCAAGATTTAGTTATAAAAATTTTCATTGTGTCAATCTAAGCAAAATAGTATTGTTTTTCTCAAAGAAGAAAGCCCGTAGAGTTGTGAATTGTTTCTTAGACTAACTTGACCTAATTTTTCATGCTTTCAATGATGTTTGAAATAGAGTATATACGAGTCTGAGTATTATCATTTTCGACTAATGTCAAAAACAAGTATTTTCTATTGATCGAAATAATATATCTTTCTTTAATCTATTTTTGTAACATGTTTCAATAGAAAGAAAAATTTATTTTTAGAATGTATACTTTTTTACAGTCTTCCTATTAGGATTAGAGAGTACATACAAAAGAAAAATTTCTTCTAGAAAAATTAATTAGAACACCTGCTTGTACGGATGCATGGGCACGTCCCGAGAAAGAAAGAGTACACGGTTATAGAACGATCAAAGCAGAAATTAAAAAGCATACTACTAGAAAATCGTTTTGATTAATAGGTAAGGAACAAGAAAAAGAGTAATGAATTCTGTTGGAAAATAAAATATACAGGACAGATAATGAAGCATGGCTTCTGTTCTGTTAATCATTTACATCTTACTGAAAACGATCATTGTTACGATCGCCGGTTTCACTTCGTTTTCAAGTCATTTTCATATGGAATCAAAAAATTATCTCATTCGCATCATTAGATCGTTTTTCATCATATTTAATAGATAAATATTAATGATCATATCTACCGTTTCTAGTTGAATCAATTTCTAATTCAGTTAGTTTAAGCATCGATGCATAGATTTTGTTGAGAACTACTCGACGATGTGACGTGCTTTCTACTAAAACGTTCATGTCTCTTGCCACATGAAGAGGAACATGATATCAATATAGAGTTATCAAGTACAAGTATACATCTTCACGTATTCTTCGTTCATTATTTTTCTGTAGGTAAGTTTCATAGATCATAGAACCTATTCTCTTGTGTTCTAGATGCCTAATATGAAGTGTATCCATGTTCCAATGATGTTACTCATCGTATACCAAAACAACAGTTTGTAAATACTGAAAAATGACCATAATGAGTTACATATTAAAAAAATACATTCTTGAAATTACAGTTCTTTTTTTATTAATGAACTACTTCATCTAAAACAATTGTTAATGATAGTTTCACGCACAGAAGACATGATTATTGCATCTGTGCCTGCCTCTTTTTCATACATCTACTTTATATATAGCTTGTGATGATAAATCTGAATACAGAAACCATATTTATATAATGAAATGGTTCGTGCATTGAGAGTAATTGGTATACAGCAAAAACTAGTGTAAGTAAGGTCTTGATGCTCTACATTGATTGCTGACTGAAACAACTCTAAACGGCACCGTTTATACTTCGGTCAAAAACGACAATCGTTTTTTTATTGTTTGGAGCAGTAATTACATCGTTTTTCTACCGTTTCAGGTGGTCGGAATGGTTGACTTAAGTATAATTGTATAAGAAATATTTTTTAACAATTCATAAATAATAGCATTTGATACACATTGAAAAACCGATGATTGTAAACATTAAAATGATCGTTCATTTAGTTTAATCAGCATATTTTTGCATAATTCATATACACGAAATTTAAATTAGTAGTTCTTGATATTGTCTGTTTTCTTATGATAGTTCGATATTATTATTTTTTCTTCAGATTTATTCAAGAAACAGTGAATAAAGAATATTTCTTGATTTATCTTTCAACTGTATATTTTCGAATGTCAGTCTCAACTATAGTTAACATTCAAAAAAGTCTCGGTCGTTATGGCTTATCGACATTAATTGTGCTCGGTAATGTGGGCAATATTCTAACAATCCTTATATTTATACGAACATTAAAAAAACAATCTAATTCATGTACATGTTATTTGTTAGCTGCTTCAATCACTAATTGGATTTTAATTAATACCTCACTTATCTCCACGGTCTATGGTGTTGATCATGTTGATCCACAACATAGATCGATTGTCGTATGTAAATTACGCTGGTATGGAGGACAAATATTATTAATGCTTTCACGAAGTTTTAGTAGGTTCTATCATCGTATAGATGAAATTATTGGTTTTTGTTTTTCTTTTCTAGTGATAGTTGCATGTGTTGATCGATGGGCTCTTACTTCTCCACGTGTTATAATTCGATCATTTTGTCGACCAAAAATTGCTCGTAACATTATTTTCTGTCTTTTACTGATTTGGTCAATCATACCAGTTCATATGGCTATTTTTATTAATAATTATTCTGGTCATTGTGGTGCACCATCGTATTATGCTTTCGCATTTGCTATTTATTTATTTGTTTTTATTGGCTTTCTTCCGCCATTTTTGATGATTTTCTTTGGTGTACTTGCCTGGCATAATCTAAAGCGAATCCGATCTCAAGTTGCACCGAGGCATAATCCCATTGGAATTCGTTTGCATAAAGTTGATCGAGATTTGATGAGAATGTTAACGGGTGAGGTATTGGTTTATATAATTACTACAGTTCTTTATCCTGTTAATGTGCTATATGGTTGTATTACGACGCCCATAACAGAACAAAAAAGTGAAATGCGATTAGCTATTGAAGCACTTGTTGGATACATCATTAGCCCAATATTGAATTATATTTACTGTATTGCTCAATTCTATGGTACGATGTGTTTTTTTTTTGGTTCAGTATATGTTTTATTAATTATGATACTTTATTTATTTTAGTTTACATGATTTGCTCGAGCAAATTTCGAAGTGATTTCATTCGGTTGATTCGCCAACAACCGGTGCGCTGAATGAAATATAGCAGAATTCGAATGAGTATAACTGATTTGATTTTCAATAAAATATCCAAAGCATGAAAATGAATTTTTCAATGTTTACAAAGAAGAGAATTACACATTATTAGTATACAAGCAGAGCATGAAGGGCAAAAAGGAAGGACAATGTAAAATAATTAGAAATAGACTAAAATTAATTAGAAGTATTTTTCAAGTCAGAATTTGATGTTCCACTGATGGTATTACCAGTGTATCGAAAGTTTTTAGAGAAAATGTTCCTTCATGTTTCGATCAACTAAGAAGGTTTACAGAAGGTATTAAACAGTTGTTTAGAATATAGAATTTTTATGGAACTCATAGGTTAGGAGCTGTAACGAATTCTTTCAAAGATCTTAAAGTAAATCTTGACCGAAAATAGTTTCATTAACTGATTCTGAGACGGATAATGTGACTGTATCCTGTTTGATAATTGATTCCATGCTTCTACTCAGTGATTTTTCTTGATACTATCATTAAAAACACCTATTTCGTTTAATTTCACTTGCTTTTCCTTGATTACATCATGCTTTGATTTTTTTTCGAACAACGTTCGGATAATAGACTTCCTTCTCAGCAATGATGAACCTTATTGCATACGTTCTATTAGTGATTTTTTTTACATAGCATGAAAGTCGAAATTATTTCCTGCAAAGTCAGCTAGGAGCTGAGAATCTTGCAACTATCAGCAAGAAACGATCGAGTTCACTTCATAAGTCTGAAAATCAAGGAGTTGTGAATATGCCATTATATCTCTTACCAAAACTCTTATTGTTGACAGACATCTTATAAAAAAACTAATGACCAGAATATCCTTTGGTAGAGAAATGTTTGCTTCTTTTATTGGTGTATTTAGAATAAATGTTTCATTTGTCTATCTTGGACGCTTTATGAAGCACCGTAAACCATCTAAACTTCACTTTCAAGTCTTTCAAATATTTTCTCAAAACTCTTGACCTATGAGTCTCACAAAAATTCTAATTCTAATCAAGTCTTTAATATTATCTACTAATCTTCTTGATTGGTCATAAAACGAAGGAGCATTTTTGTCTAAAAACTTTTGATGCGTCTGTTATTTTTCCGTTAAGCATTTATTCAGTTAGTACGTTTCTCCTTTATTACTCATTCTCTGCAAGATTATTCTTTCCTGGCTTATCATCATTTTGAAATCTTTGAAATTAATCAGATTTCTTGTATTCATCATTTGATAGACTTTTTTTCCTTGCTGCAATAAGAGTGTCTCTTCATCGGATAACCAGTGAACATATACACCTCTGTATTGAAGTTAGACATGTAATAAACTCAGTATCCAAATAGGTTTTCCATAGGTGATGGTTTTTTGACAAAAATTTCATTAGTGCTGTACAGTGATACGTCAAAAGTGTCACTAGTTATCGCTTCTTCATCCACTTTCACTGTATGATATTGTTTCTGAACAATACATATATGAATTATAGAAAGATTTATCATAAAGTATCTAATGAGAATTGAATCAATATCTTCGAATCTTCAATAATAACATGATACAACGAGTATCGATAAACAACACATGATCGCTAATGACCTGCAGAGGAAGAAGGTAAGATAATTAAGAACAAGTAATAATGTTATACATCAATGATTCATATTCTCTTGTTTCCCTCGAAGAAAAAGTTATATATACACACGACACAGAAGCATTTAGTTTAATCTAAAAAATATCATTTATCTTTTCTATTATTGACGAAAAATAAATATGATTTGAATAAATAAAATTTTGATGACTTCTTGATATTTACACAATTTACTATCATTTTTATGTAAATTTCAATTTGTTTTTTTTGTATTCAGAGTATCAAATCTTCCAAGTTGCTGTTCTAAACTTTCTTCTAGCTTTTCGTTAATCTTCAGTGTTGAAAATGTCGATCATCAATACGACGATACGGAGTAGCGAATGATTCAAGAACTCTTTTTTAAATCTTTTTACGAGCTATATTTCTGTTATGGCAAAAACAAATCCCCTGAAATATCGATGAATAATGGACAGCTTTCAAAACTAGTACGAAGAAAAGGCTTATTCACATCACTAAATCAATTGAATACGACCAGTAGCTATAGACAAGCTGTCTACATACTAGCCCTAATTTCTATTTATTGGGTTGAGTATTAATATTTAGCTTAAATAGAATTTATTATTCGATAAAAAAAAAAGTGAACACTGAAATATCACTACTTGAAATTTCACTGTAATATTCTGTATCAACTTTCTGTCATCAAATCGTAGGAATTGCATTAGCGTTATCAATATGTAGCTATGCTATATGTTTATACCAGACGAAATGGGTGCCCTGGATGTAATGTTGGAGCCTTGTTGATGCACCGATCACAAAGATCATAAGTGTTGCCTCGTCTGCAGACTTGACATTGATAACGGCGACCCGGATTTGATCGACGACAGCTATTACACCACCATGGAGACGGTGGTGGCGGTCGTGGAGGAAAACCTGATCCATATGGTGTGGCAGCCTGCGTATTTCTATTCATTATGAGTTGAAATGAAAGAAATCAAACCAAGTTTATTGTTTGTAGAAGATCGATATTCGATTAGCGAAATGAAAAGTAAATGAAGCGGGTATATAAACAAAAAAAAAGAGAAAAATGATTCATTGATGCATGACTATCGAGCACCCTTGTGCTCTTAGCTCTGACTATTGTTTTGTCTAAATTGCTGCATTGATATGTGATCGTAGGGCACCCTCGTTTGCTTAGTGTTTACTTTTGTTTTGCGTGAATCGACTCTTCAATTCGTTGACTAAGCCGAGTATTTTTTTTTATTACAAAACAACTGTCATATTGTTTTAGTAGCGACTATGTATTAATGCTTTCAATGTAACTCAAAAATATCTAGTGATGAAAAAATTAATTTGGATATATTTCATGTGTTGATGAAGAAAATTAAAAATAAAGGTCATTTGTAACCTGTACCTTGCACCTTCAATCATTTATTTACTTTCAACACAAAAATATATCGAATAGATGAACCATCATACTACACATTGGAGTTGAAATATTATAAGATAACATATTTATTTTTTATTACTGTAAATTGAAAATTAAAACTTCGATTTTTCCATAAACCATTCACCTTTTACTTAATGTGTTTAGAACAATTTGTTGCTCGATGTCTGAATTTCTGTTCCACCGTACAAAAACAAATCTGCAAGATAATCAAGTTTTTTTTTGCCACTTATCGTTTCTAAATGTACTGCATAGAAAAACTGTACTAATATTTTTACTTTATAAGAGATATATAAATACAATCTTTAGATCTACAAAATAAAGATTAAAAAAAAAATTTTATTTTTGAAAAATGAAAATAAATAAGTAAATAAAACAATCTTTATTATTTAAAAAAAGATAAATGAATTTTGTATTTCTAAAAACAAAGATAAAATAAACAAATAAAGAAAGATTTCTTTCTCCAGTACGTAAATAGACAAATACTTTGTATAACAACAGGATATGTTAATCGATGTTCTTTCTTATCACCAACATTACTTGCATATGTAATATTATTAAAAACTGGAGATGATCCGTGAAAAACAAGTATACAAAAAACTTTTGTATATATTTTATTTGTGCTTTTAATATTATTAATTTTTGTGAGCAGCGGTGTAAAAATTACAGTTTCATAAAAAATTGCTTTCTTATTCATTTTACTTTTATAAGGTAAAGATAAAGATCCGATGTCACAAAAATCAGATAAATTTTAGCAATGCATCATGGTAATTGTCAAAATCGCCGGTTTACCACGGTTCACCGGTAATTTTTCCTCTGGTCTATAGAAAGCAAATGGCTACAGAAAGAAAAAAACATGTATTGGTACATGTGCGTATCTGTCGCATATATCACTTATTTCGTTTACTTGCTTGTTTAGAGAAAATAATCAATACAACGATAACGAGATTCAGTTAAAAAGTAATACTGTTGATATTGAAGTTTTTAATATTTATTTTTTCAAATCAATTCTTTTATATTTGTTTTAAGATTAGTTTTTTTGTGTTTATTTTTTATGTATGTTTTCTTTTGCATCGACTTGTATTTTTATTTTTGGTTGAAATAAAAATTAGGTTAATTGAAAAATAACTGTTAAATTTAACCACAAATATTAATAAAACAAAGAATCAAATGGTACCAGTTAACTGCATAGAAGCATCGGTTAGCTGTTGTTTACCGGAAAGAATCGCCCGTTTACCGCAATAATTGGAAACAGATACATGAAGCGGTAAACCGGAGTTTTTTCTCCGGTTTTTATTACATGAAATTTTATTTATATTTATGGTTTATTATATGGAACGATAAAAATAAAGTAACATCCCTTTTTAGTACATTTTATTCAAAAATCAAATGATTGTTTCAACTACGTATTGTTTTCGAAACACGATCATTTTAGTTACAGTAACACCTCTCTTCAGTGAACACCAACGGGACCCTCCAAAATGTGTTCACTATACGAAGGTTTTGCGTTAACTGATATTTTATACGTATATAGGGTATGCATAGCATAATTAAGTGCTGGCTACGTGTACATCCACACCCTATTGGGCTCGTTCTTGTAGAAGTGGGCCTGAAGCTGGAATGTTCTTGCTGCGTTGCGCTACGAACCATTCATACACTTTTTGATCAAGTTGTTAACGGAATTCATTCCGGAAATTCCGCTTCTTGGTTGAATTCTCATTTTGTTCATAATCTTCCATGTACTCCACCTTGAGCTTGATAATGTTCGATACACTGCCCATCGAGATCTGGTACTTGTCGGCAAGTGTACTGTATGAAGATTTCTCTTCATTTTCACGAATTAATTGTATCTTTTCAGAGAGGGTCAATGCGTGTCTTGTCGTCATCTTACAATTGTGCGTAAATGGAAAGGTGTGATATTCTTTTATATGCGACTGATTAAGTCGTCGTGAACTTCATTTTCATTGTTCTTTTTGTTTCATACACGTGACGAATTTTCTTGTGATGAATAGATCGTCAATGAGTTGGTCGATTACAACTTCAGATTGAACGATGTTTTCTCTTTTTTCATATTCACATGCATACTTTGTTGCATATGTGTTCACTATATAAAAGTTTTTCTTGCTGAAGGGACGAGGGTGTGTCGGTGTCAATCTTCACTGGATTCTTAGCCAGAGTTAGACCCACACCCACCACACCCTTTACATAAAGCTCTGATCGGTTTCCTTTGGTTTAAAAATATCGCATCAGATCTAACGTGAGCTTTTTGAAATTGTAATTTGACGGTTCTTTCTTTTTCCAGTAGTTATAGACTTGATTTTATTGGTAATTTATTTGCTTTAATTGTCTTCTCGATTAAAAAAATCGAAAGGTATCTACTGGTTTTTTTTATCTCTTTTGAAAACAATATCAATAATATCTTAATCCATTTGTCCACAATGTTAATCGAGTAATTATTACATTGTTTTACAGTTGGTATTGAGCCATTGATTGTTTGATTCGTTCAGAAATAACGGGTGCGTCACGTATAATGGTCACGTTTTATATATCAGTTTTCAGTCTGTTAATACATTGCACTAAAAAAAATTATACCAAAAGATGCAGCGTGAAAAGCTCTACAATCTGCTAAGTAAAGTTTATTTTAATTGTGCACTTTTTGTTTTCAAAAAAAGCAAAATTCTGTGTGACCAATTTTCGTACGGTCGAAATTTGGTTGCTCAAAATTTTGCGTATTTTGAAAGCAAAACGTGCAACTATAAAAAAAGCTGGTCTATTTAAATTGTAGAGCTTTTCACGTTGCATCTTTAGGTATAATTTGTTTTCTGAATGCAATGTATTAAGAGACTGAAAACTGATAACCAAAACGCGACCATTTTACCTTGCGTACCCATTACTATTACATTGAGAATAATTTATACTCGTAAAAATATCTGTAAAATGGCAATCATATCTCTCATTGTGTGCTGCTTTTTTTAATCTTTTTATTTTATCCCATTTAGTAGTCAAAATGTACATAGTAACTATTGTACTTGTTATTATAATCAATCGACTAGTTATTGTTATTTTTTCTTATCAGAGCAAATATTCCATTACAAGTTCTTGCTTTTTTTTCGATATAAGTTATGATCATAGGTTGCAGCAAATATTCAAATACTGCATAATATTCGTCAATCTCATCATCGTATTGCTGATAGTAAAACAATGAATATTACAATGAGAAGTTGTATAGCTGTATTAGTGAAAAAAATCCATGAACTGATTTGTTACAGAACATCAGCAATTAATTGAATGCTATTCTATATGGATGATACCTAATGTTATTACGTTTATGTAACACAAATTTTATTTCATTTTTATGAAGTACTGCGAATTTATATTCAAATATTAGATGACCATATTTACTTATTGATATATGGCACATTATTATTATAGGTAAGTATTTATTTTGGTATTGTAGTTTATTTATATTGTTTTGCATCAATATTATTTCGTAAAAAATCTAATGAGATAACGAAAAATGTTTTATATTCTGAAATGTTTCATAAACTGAAAAAATAAATATAAAAGATTTCAATAGATTTAATTGAAATTGTTTGTGTTGTTTTGTCTACGAAATTATTAGTATATGCAAATTTTATCTATTTTTTTAATCAATGCTTCAAAATAAATTTTTGATATGAGAAATAAGTCGATGCTGAAGTAGTAAAAACAACCGAAACATAATCAAATGGATGTTTCTTTAAGTATGTATTTAGCACATTAGATGAATCGATTCAAACATTTCTTGCTCTAATTCATAGCTGTAATTAAAAACCAATCAGCATACTCCATTTCGGTTGCTCACAAGCAGTGGCTTAGATTAAAATAAAAAGAACATCGAGAATCATCCATTGAGAATATGGATATAACGTTTGTGATTGGAACAAAAAAAACGTGAGCTGATCATGTTTTAACTTCATGCGATAATCCGTGTGAGGATCAAATATATGCGGAGAAAAGATAGAAACATAGACAAGTTAACAGCACAAATCTAAATAGGATTGAACTATAAAACTTACATATGATTCTTGAGTGTAATATTATGATACAAATTATGTTATCTATCTCAAACATGTACTGTTTTTTTTACACTCTGGTTGACGATAGATGCGGTTATCATGACATTCCTTTGCTTTGTTCTATTTTAATCCTTCTGTTGACTAAATTTAGTCGCCTTCATCCTTTCTACTTGTTGTTAAAGTATTGTCTGTCATGAGAAAAAAATGATTCGTCAATATGAGTTCAATTGTTGGACTATGATAAGATTTAAAAGATATAATTTGAATTAATTGTGATGCATCAAAGGAAAACAAACTGTCTCGACGAAACAAAAACATTATTTGAAAATCATATTCTCTATTAGCATCTACAGGATTCTGAATAAACAAAATTTTGTTGTTGCAAAAAAAATTACAATTTATATCGTTGTCGTATTTATCAGGAATTTTTTCTTTTAATACATATACGTGTTTTAAATATAAAATGCATGATTTTAATACAACTAATAAAACACGTTTGGCATGCGTAATATATTACACTCTGTATTCATATATTTAACATATTAAACAGCTTGAAAGCAAACCTTAATCTTATGTATTATTCTAAATATTTCGAAATATAGAAAATTATTGCCCATGAGAATTCAAAGAAAAAAAAACATATTTACTTAAGTGTTGAAACTGTTCTTTAGCTTGTAATACACTTAAATTTCCTTGTTGTCTTTATCGATGTATATTTTTCTCTGCAACATCTCACAGGTAAAAAAAAAATACAGCGTAGTAATGTGAGTGTAAAATGAATAACGAACTGAATAATTACTCAATAAGTGTTTGCCTTACAGATTCATTTGGCCAAAAAAAAACGTTTTTTTAATACTCAATTAGAATCAATTCTGTTTGTCAAAAGTTTATACTGTGTTCGTTTCTATATTTGCTCGATAATACACTTTTCTTTCATGTTCTTTAAAAATCATACTCAATAAGAGAAAGAGAATAAAAAAACTGATGAAAAAATGGCCACCAACTTGGTTAATTAGTCATCGATGGAAAAAAAGAGAAAGAAAAAAAAAGTAGAAAGAGTGACGAGAAGCACTTTTTTTTTTCAAATAAAAGAGTTTTCACTTTATAACAAGAAAACTTTTATATCTGATTATTAAAATGAATAATTATATTTTTCAAATCATTATTTTTGTATTTGTGAATTGTGTACGAATTTTTGAAAGTACACCACTCGATAACATTACGACTACATCAACATTGGATTTTGGTACTTCATCGATTATAATAAATACAGAATTACCTTCATCTTCTATGTTAAGTTCAGATTCTTCTGTAACGATTTCATCTTCATTCTCTTATTCAACTTCTACCGTCCCGGACACACCGCAATCGACAGTTTCTCGTGGAACAGACGATACCACTATCATCTCATCAACAGCAATGATTTCTTCGACAGAAATAACTTCAATAGCTACAAATACATCGGTAGAACAATTTTCTTCATCAGCTACATCAAATAGTTCTGCTTATATTACGTCTAAACCAGTGACTTCTTCAATAAGTAAGATGTCAACAATTTGTACAATTAATATATTTTGCTCTTTTCTAGATATAATGGTTAGTTTAATTTACAAATACGTTGTGGAAAGTTTATCTTCTCTAACGATGGGAAACATTTATGATACTACAGTTTTAATAAGTGTGCAAAAAATGGTATGTACATTTAAATTTCAAAAAATAAGATTTTAATCAATCTATATAGGTAAATTCTTCATTCAATCTAACAAACTTTGATATTACAGTCACTAGTATTGAAATTACATCTAAAGCAAAGTATTTGACAATGTTAAATTTTGAAATAAAAATTTGTTTTTATTAATCAATAGAGTTGATAATAACGAATATGATATGATCACTAATATTTTATTCAAGAGTAGTCGTACTGATTGTAATGTAACTTGCATCAAACAATCTGCATCATCATCCACACCCACACAAAATTTTACACTTTTAAGTGCGAATGGTTCCTTAGTAAATGTAGCACCTAAATCAAGTCCAACACTAGTTGATAGTACGTTTATTTCAATTGATTATAAATTAATTCATTATTTATGACATTAGATACGCCAAGTATAACAACAACAACAGCAAAAAATTATCGAAAAGGTAATAAAAAAAAACTAAAAAAAAAATATTACACACTTGTTTTCATAGGTGAGTCACCACCTGGTGTTGCAGCACAATTAGGTATGGGCTTTGGTATAACAATAATTGGCATTTTACTTATCGGTGAAATAATATATTTCTATCGAAAATATGGATTGAATGGACCAATGCATCATTCAAATTATGCGTTACCTCCTTTTCATAGTCGACTATCAATTTAAATGCATGATGATTTATATTGCGATAATTTTGTTGTAACCTACTTTTTTCTTCTCCTTTAATATAAAAAAAACAAGATTAATGACTGTTTAAATATTTAATTTTCATTTGTTATCTATATAGTTTTCATTCATTTGAACAAATGTCTAATTCAACGTCCCGTGGTCTCACAAAACAAGAAATAGCTATACCCGCTATTCTCGGAACAATTGTTTATATAGGTGGTTTTATAGGCAATCTTTTATCATTGACAATTTTTATTCGTACTGAGATACGTCGAGTTTCAACTGGATTACTTTTTTTATTATTAACTATATCAAATAGTATTCTATTATTAACATTAATTGTTGAGTTTATTGATGTTGCTTATAATGGTAAGCAATATCTATATATTCATACAGTACGAAAAAAAGAATTACAGATATTCAGATAATACGAATTTTCTATTTGATGAATATTATGAAGGACTTCATTAAAATAGACAGTCTAACTACTCGACTGATCTATTAAGATCACTAAAGTTATTACGATATAATATCAGAAATTAATTCAGTGGATCATTTTTATCTACTGTGCTAACGGGAGAATATTTTCAACTGATTAATCGCGATTGAGTTCGAACTCTGTACAGAAGGTGAAGTTCAGTAGAATATGAAAAATTTTTAAAAGAATAAATGCCAGTAGACTTTCTCTCCAGAGATCTAGACATTTTATAGGAGGAACTTCAGTTTCGGACATGATAAATACCAACAAATCAAATGATGGTATTTCGACTTGAGATTCCGCCCACAGACTGAACTATATGTCAATAGAGTTCTTTGAAAATTTCACTTCAAAAGAATATTTCTTTCCCGAAATATTAAACTCCCAAAAATTACTTATATTCCACGAAAGATGCTAGAATCGTATTTCTTTGGGACTTTAATATCTTTAGAAAGAAGATAGTCTTTTGAATTGAAATTTTCAGAACATTCTACTAATAAATAGATCTGTCTATAGGCAAGGTCTTAGGTCGAAATATCGTCATTCGATTTATTGATATATACCACGTTCAAGGGTAAAGTTCTAGTAAAATATCTATTACACTGAACAGAAGACCTAAAGGCATTTATTCTTTTGAGATTTTTTATATTTTACTAGAGTCTACATTATGCACTAAGTTCGAACTTGAAAGCGATTACTTAGTTGAAAATATTTCCTCATAAGTATTTTATCGATATTTTCCTAAGACTTTATGAACGCGATGAAAAATCGAACTTAAAGCCTTAATTGGATATTTTTCATAGTTATGAATCTGAACCAGACGTTCATTGTATGTCCAAAAATAGAAGCATGTAGAATAAAAAGATTGCTGAAGAATAAAAGAATATTCTAATGCATTGATAAATATTGAACATAGAGGAAGAATGTTTTTATAACTCTTCAACTCATGTTACTTTAATAGTTTGGAATAGCATGAAAATGAGAATTCTAAATAATGAAACAAGTATTAAATGAAAAAGTGAAATTTTTTTTTCAAAATAAAAATAATATCTTTAATTTCACAGTTTATTGTTTCTCTTATTTTAGTTCGATTATTTCATTTTGTATTCATACGATGTTGTCTTGTTTATTGGCTTCAAAATGTTTTTCGTTCATTAAGTTCATTTATCGCTTGTACAATTAGTTTAGATCGTATGTTTCGTGCAGTTTATCCAGCACGTGCTAAATATTTTTGTACATGTCGATTAGCATATCGAATTGTTTTTATTTATACAGTTGTTTTTACATTTTCTCTAGGATTTTATTTATTTCCATATATGGGAGAAGATTCTAAGGGAATTTGTTCAACAGAATTCAATCCAATCTATCATAAATTTATGACTAGTATATGGCCACTTATTCGTACTTTTCTTGTTTGTATTCTTCCTGTTGCAATAATGATTGTAGCAAATATTCGATTATGGCGTAGAATACAAGCATCAAAACGTCGTGTAGCTCCTCATACATCAAATCATTATCATTCAACAAATACAGAAAGAATGCTTCTATTTATAGCAATATCTAATGTTTTAGTATTTATTATAACACAAATTCCATTTCATATGTATGCAAGCATTGTGCGTTATAAACGATCAATTGATCATGTGCGTACACCAATGCTTCTTTGGAGTAGTCTTTATTTTGGTATTGGTTTTTATATTTATTGTTTAACATCACGTTATTTTCGTTCCAAATTTATTTCAACAGTATATAAGTGTTTAAAAAAGAAGAATACAACTAGTATACGGCAGAATACAATATCGCAACGTGTGCCAAATTAAATATGATTGCGTCAGTGGCAGATTTCAAGGTTGAGTTAATAAAGATAGTAGTCTCTTCGTAATATATGCATATTTTTGGAAGAATTCTTGTTTTTTTTTTTGTTTTGAATAAAAAAAAAAAAAACAATTTTTATCTATTATGTAGATATAACTTTCATTTCATTCTCAGAGAAAATGAATGACAGATGGTTTGACTGATTTATCTACAAACATTAGTTTATCACAAATGAATACATAATAGATAAGAACAAAGATAAATCACATTAATAGATGAAATATTAAATGCCTTAATCGTCGCAAATTCAGTGAACAGATGAATAATGGCGAAACCAGGTAGTGACTCGAAAGGGCTCAGTACTTCCCTTCGCACTGTGTACATTTTTTCACATGGCCGGCGAATATGTGACATTCTTTCTCGACATCAAATTTATTTGCTCAGAAATGATCGGATATGACATAGAAAAGCATTATTAAGAAAAAACACATTTTTCGACAAAAATGCCTGAGGAGGTTCCGTACTCTCATTTTTCCAAAGAAATGTTTTTCTTCAAACTTGTTATGTCTTATATATAATTCGACGCAGTTTAATGTCCTGATTTCAAATATATTATTTTTGTTGATTATATGTTTTTCTAAAACCAGAAAAACTTAGCTTGTTTGGAAATCTACTATGGACTCCAAGAATACTTGCTCTAATCAGAATTAGAGATGGTAGACAGAACAACGCTCTTGAAAAATTTGGAAAAGTTTTGAGGTTGGATAGCTGATTTTACGAAAATAGCCTTTCGAACTACACTGTAGAGAAAAAAAATTGTTTTTTTTTTCTCAGAAGTTAAATATGTAACTCAAAAAATATATTTTACCATTGTATAGAGCTCGGCTTGAAAATTCAGTAATGTACTTTATTTCTCTGTCGATATCATTTTTCTCGGTGATCATCACAATTTCAAGGCTAATTTTTGTGCCTCTGATTTTTCAGTTTATTTGACTGTACTAGCAGAGTTATTTATAGCATAAGATAGATTATACTTCGAAATATATATATTCCTATATTTAAATCTTGAAAAGTACGATTTTCATTTTAAGCCAAACGTCCTCCTAGATGCACACTGTGCTCCTTCCCAAAAATGTGACGTCCCTATGCTTTAAGAGAAAAATATACTTCGCTTTCAACTTTACATGAAGTTTTAGCATCCTCTATAAGTTTGTTTCTGTTTCCGCTACGATCGGTGAAACAGCCACATAGTCGTATAAATCCATCCATTTGAAAACCTGAGTGACATCTATTACTTTTTTTTTTTTTGTATTCATGATAAAGAGATTAATATTAATATTCAAATAAAATATGAGTTTTATCTCTAGAGTTAATCAAACAAACCTATATTATTGGTCTTAATGTTCTATCATGAGTATCGTTGCTATAGTTTCGTTAGCTACAATGGCCAATGTTGTTGTTCGAATATCTATTGTATGAAAATTGACTATAGTTAACAAAAAAAGATAGATGGCAACTCAAACTCAAGTTCTGAAACGTGGTGCCGTTCAGCCGGCACGCCTTCACGATTATCTTTATGGTTAGTTTCGATCTTATTTTCATATTCATAAAATTTCCAGCAAATATTGCATTTTTAGACCCTACATGTTCATTATCTGGTGTTCGTGATCATGCTCGAGAAACATTTGCAGCAAAAACGACTGCAGAACAATTGGTTTGTAAGAAATCCTCGTTAGAATTTATAAAAATAGATATCTTTTTAGCAAGCTGTACCTGTCTATGAACATTTATTCAGTGATCTACGTCAATATCCTCGTTTTGCTTATCGAATTCAATCTCGAGATCCTGTTCCAGCACATGTCAGTCGACAATGGTTAGGACAAGCAGATGCTCATCGTGAGCAAATTGCTCTATCTCGACTGTAAATATAAATTATTTCAATCATTACTTTTTTCTGTATTCGATTTTATATATTTAGTTTTACGGGTAATGATGCATTCGTTGTTCCACCACGAACATATGAACATGTTGATGTCGGTGGTCGTGAACGTGCAAAATTCTTTCGTAAACCACTTGTACCTTTTATGGAAAATGTTCAACCACTTGTTGTTCTTGATACTGGTCGATCAACAACAGGTACTTTCGGAGATGCTGCAATAAAACCTATTCCAGGACATCTGGTTAGTTCGACAAAATCAGCTGTTCCTCCAGCACAGCCAACAACAAAAACACAAGCTATTCAAACTGATTATATGGAACGTGAAGCTCAAACAGATCCTTACACACCTGAATCTGTTGTCAAACCAGGTGAACAACCTGAAGTATTAACATTAGCTACTCTTATGTATAGTATGTTTTTGAAAAAAGAATTTGTTCTATTTAAAATGCTTGTTGATGTTGATATTTCTAGAGAAAGGTCTTCCGGCTGGTCTTGCAGAAGTAGAAATGATTGAACGTAAGTTCTATAATCTTTGAATAGAAGAAACAAATTTTGTTGTATTCAGGTGCACGTGCTAAACGTCAATGGGAAGCAAGTTTACCACCACTTGATGATCCTCAACAATGGGAAAAACGATTTAAAATGATGAGTGATATGGAAAGACATGAATGGCTTTTAAGAGAAAATGAAATTGAAAAGTAAAACACCTTTATCTTACATATTGAATTCATTGTTATTTTTTTTAATTTTAATTTTTATAATAGATTACAAAATCTTCGTATAGAATTATTAGAAAAAATGCTTAAAGATAATGAAGCTCGCCGATATGATACATCGATTGAACGTATTAATCGACAATGGAGTAAGAAACAAATTGAACGTGAAGAATTTGTTAAAACAAATCGACTTCATTATTTACGAGGTAAAATTTATGTCTTTCTAAAAGGAAATGAATTTATTCAATTTTTTTGTATAAAGCTATTCGAGCTTTACTTCGAAAACGATCACAAGTTGAAACAAAATATGTTAAAAATGATATTATTCGTGCTTATACAAAATATGAAACAACAGCCTACGGTCCATTAACACGAAATGGTTATTTTCCAGATAAACTTACTGACAAATATTTAGTAAAAAGTCGATTTTTGGATACATATACGGGCTTACTTGAACTTGAATCAACATTACCATCAAATGCATTGAAAATTCGACTTCCAGCACCGAAAAGAATTAGTTCAACTAAAGATGGACATCTTAAACGACAATTTCGACGTGAAAGGGATTTAAATAATATTTCCAAGGTTAGATTTTTTGTGATATTATTGATTTAATCAGTAGTTTATAGTTTTTGACTAAATCATTCAGACAAATCTATTAGAGTATCGATTAAATTTCATTTAGAAAACTAATAATAGGTTTTTAACTCCATTAACGAACGAATCTCTTGAACTGTGCCATTACGATTTTAATGAATTTTTTGCTTATAGATACTACATTATGTTCTAATAATAACTCTAAAAGGATTTCGATTAGCCTAAAATATCGAGTTTTGATCTGAGACCAGTGGCGTACGCAGAAATTTTTCAAGGGGGGGGCCCAACTTCGTAAGGGGGGGGCCCGCCATGGGACAAAAAATTTTTTATCACGCGAAAATATTTTTTCCTGTACCCCCCTTCAGGACTTTTTCGTCTCAAGGGGGGGCCCGGGCCCCC